CATAGGAGTAGGATTATATCCTTACCTCCGAGTTGTTAATGCCCATTTGGGTGTACGGTTGTACATTATCTTGAGTTCTTAATAATATTTTCTTGTCGTTGGAAAAAAAAAGAATTGCTATTTGTCATAGTAATTGTATAAATAGTAATTGATGAATTGCTATTGTCATAGTAACTGTATAAGCTAATTGTATATGTAGCATTTGTCTAATTTTAATTATTATCACTTTAAATATTTATTTCTTTTTTTTATCAAATTATTTTTTATTATTTTATTTTAAATATTTCTTTAATACAAACTCAAAATCTATGTCAAATTTAATTCAACCAAATTTATCAAAATTAACTATGTTTTTTTAAAAGAAAAAAAAACTCAATGGTATAACGAAAGATCCAATCAAAAACTTATATCCAACAACCGCTAGACCTATCCGTCCTCATCCGTGCCAATTATTAATAATATATAAAATCACAGCCAAACCCAACGAAAATTACGATTCCCCATTTTCCCCTTCACATTCAATGGGGAAATATTGTTAAAAGTGAAGAGAGAGTTTTGTGCACTTGTGGTCATACTTGACTCGATTCTGAATTAATTGATTCTTTTATAAATTCTGTGGTCATACTTGACTCGATTCTGAATTAATTGATTCTTTTATAAATTCAGAAATTGGAATGTCTCTGTATCAAAAAAAATAATGGGAAAATATTACAATTCCTTATGGATCATTTCGTCAGTATTTATAACCGTTAGATCATTAAATAACTGTTGAAAATAATTGATGTAACGGTTACCAACCCGACAAAATAGTTCACCATACCATTTTCCACAATAATGAACTGTCACAAAAAAATAAAAATAAAAATCCAAACTTTCTCTCTCTCACATCCACACCGTCACTGCCTCCCTGTCCCCCACCATTATTTATACTCCCAAAGCAAACCCCACTCTCACCATCAATACCCCCTTTCTCTCTCTCTCTCTCACTCTCAAAATGGACGGAAAAAGGATTCCTGTTTGCCTCTCCGTCTACTTCTTTCTCTTCGCCGTTACCATCTCCGTCACACTCTCCGACCACCTCCAACACCAGACCTTCGTCCTTACCTCACTCCCCACCCCCCAGCCGCAAACCCTCTCCTCGGCCCCTCAGCAAATCTCCAAATCCGAATCCGAACCCGAATCAGAATCCACACTCACCGTCTTGCTCCACCACGTCGACAACCTCCACGCCGCCCCCAACTCCACCCCGGAGTCCCTCTTCCATCTCCGGCTCCGCCGCGACGCCGTCCGCGCCTTTACCCTCTCCGCCATCGCTTCTTTCTCCTCCCGTGCCAACGTTTCTGGCAAACCCCGACCCGCCGCCGCCGACTTCAGCAGCTCCATCGTCTCCGGCCTCTCCCAGGGCAGCGGCGAGTACTTCACCCGGATCGGGGTCGGCACGCCGCCCCGGTACGTTTACATGGTCCTCGACACAGGTAGCGACGTCGTCTGGGTCCAGTGCTCCCCCTGCCGCAAGTGCTACTCCCAGACTGACCCTCTTTTCGATCCCAGAAAGTCCACTTCCTTCTCCGGCGTCTCCTGCGCCTCCCCCCTCTGCCGCCGCCTCGACTCCCCGGGCTGCAACAACCGCCGGAAGTGCCTCTACCAGGTCTCCTACGGCGACGGCTCCTTCACCTTCGGCGAGTTCTCCACCGAGACGCTAACCTTCCGGAGGACCAAGGTCCCCGCCGTCGCCCTCGGCTGCGGCCACGACAACGAGGGCCTCTTCGTCGGCGCCGCCGGCCTTCTTGGACTCGGCCGGGGTCGCCTCTCCTTCCCCACCCAGGCCGGCCCCCGGTTCGGGAGAAAATTCTCTTACTGCCTCGTGGACCGGTCGGCCTCGTCCAAGCCGTCGTCCATGGTGTTCGGTGGCTCGGCCGTCTCCCGGCGCGCCGTATTCACGCCGCTGGTGGCGAATCCCAAGCTCGACACGTTCTACTACGTGGGCCTGAATGGGATTTCGGTGGGCGGCGCCCGGGTGCCCGGGATCACGGCGTCGCTCTTCCAGCTCGACAGCACGGGCAACGGGGGCGTGATCGTGGACTCGGGTACGTCCGTGACCAGGCTGACCCGACCCGCATACGTGGCGCTGAGGGACGCGTTCCGGGCAGGGGCCTCCAACCTGAGAACCGCCTCGGAGTTCTCCCTCTTCGACACGTGCTTCAACCTATCCGGGAAGACGGAGGTCAAGGTGCCGACGGTGGTCCTCCACTTCGGCGGCGGCGCCGACGTGTCCCTGCCGGCTTCGAACTACCTCATTCCGGTGGACGGCGACGGCAAGTTCTGCTTCGCGTTCGCGGGCACGATGAGCGGGCTGTCCATAATCGGCAACATTCAGCAGCAGGGCTTCCGGGTCGTGTTCGATCTGGCGGCGAATAGGGTCGGGTTTGCACCCAGAGGTTGTGATTAATTAACTTAGTTAATTAATGTTGTTTTCATTTACTATGTCCTTTTTATATCCTGTGTTTGATTCACTTATATCATGAATCTGAAAAATTTTCCGACCATCGGAAAAGGGGTCTCTACGGTGGTTGACGTGAGCTTGTGATGAAATGTATTATTTGTTGTGTGAAACGGACAAAAGATTTAGCTTTTGCAGAGACTGCAGAGAGTGTAGAAATGCATGTTTGATGTTTGAACGAATATATTTTGAATTGAGCACATAGATTTGGATTTGATTGCATTACTGGGTTTCTAAATTTCCTATTTTTGAGGGATCTTAATTGAAGAGAAATGCTACAGTCCCCGTCACGAAATTATTCCGTCGAGATTTGTAATCGTTAGATCATCATGCAACCGTCGTGGATAGTTGATTTAACGGTTACAAACTACAACGAAATGGTTCCGTAACAGGATTGGAGAATCTCCCTTAATTAAAATAAGAGACTTGAACTTCATATGAGCTTTTTCTGTTTTAGTGCGCTTCATTTGCGTAGTACTGCACTTATTATGAGGGACTTACAGGTGATATTCTGACAAAGTCGATCTCAGAAAATGAGTTTCGAATGAGACTGAGTTGTCTCGTTTATCAAACGAGCCAATTTGAACTCACAAGCGACACTTTTTTTTTTTTTTTGACAGCTCTGAAAATATATCAAAGTGATCTTCAATAAGCCATGGTATGTTCGAGATTCAACATTTTATTGTATTATAGGGTATTTGGAAAAAAAAAATAAGGGCATTATATAAAATGTACGTATATTATTTTGGAAATTTTTAGGTGTGAGATTAATTATCAAACTCTGGCATGAGAACTGGGATATCGACAAGTTGTTGAGGCCTTAGCCGCCTGCTCCCCGCTCGGCCTGCAACGGATCTCATCTATCCCCCAAAGGTTGGGTGAATGGATTGAACATGATGTCCGTGGAGTTTCTTATCCACAACATGTTATAGTTTCGTAGCCCGGGTCTTTAACCTCCTTCTATGTACCAAAAAAAAAAATATATATTAATAATTATACTTATCGATAAATATACAACATATTGTTAAAATAATTAAGGCGCTCGTGAATTCTTATCACCGTACATTAATGCCTTTTGTTGGGACATGGTCGGCAAGTAAAGGTAATGACATATATATTTACATGAAATTATGTCTACGATAATGGTATTCCTATATTCATATTAGTGGGGCCCACGCAAATTTAAAAGGTCCAACCATATATATGTGCACAAAATATTATTGTAAGAAATTGCATCACAATATCTTGAAGAAGACCATCATAAAAGGAATTTGGCGGGCCATCAGCCTGTTAAATGTTGTTATTCCAGTTGTGTTGTCAATCTTGTTGTACACTAAATTAGTAATGTAGTATTTCTTGTATATTTTTCCATAACATTTTTCACCCGTTGCTTTTGATTCATTAAGTATGAAATCAAAAGGTATTTAACTTATTTTGGAAGAATTATATGAACTCTTAAGTCTGAAAGTGAAATTTGAAATGAGATTTGGTATAATGTTTTTATTTTGAAATCTCAGCAAATCTTTTATAGTCTTAACAAATTATTGTCTTAAATGAGTTAAATACCTTAAAAAATTATAAGGTTCTTTAAAATCTCAAATAAATACCTCAGAATTTAAAGTCTTAAAAAAATCCAAATTAAATAAAAGTCGTTCTTCTTTAGTCATTTCCTTTCCTCTCCTGGCAATGTCGTCAATTTCACCTTCACTCGACTAAAAGGAGAGGTCAATTATATCGAGCCTCTCCTCTCTTCTATGACTGAACTTCGCTTCTCTTCGTTCTTTGAGTCTCACTTTGATCTCCTCCGGGTTTTATAACTCCGCTTTCTCATGAACAAGGATCTCATTGCCAAACAAATTTGGAGAATCCTGACAAAGCCTAACCTACTAGTAAGCAAGGTTCTAAAATCCAGATACTTAAAAAATGATAACTTCTTCAGTGCAAAGAAAAAAAGTAGTAGCTCTTGGATGTGGAACTCCTGAGTTACTGTCAGAGACTCTCTACCTTAAGGTTTCTGATACAAGATAAAAAAAAATGGGAGCACAATCAACATCTAGGAGCAGCCTTGGGTCCCTAACTTGCCTGGATTCAAGCCTTCTTCTATCAATCCTGCTAAAACTCATATTCTTTGGGTTAAAACCTCATTGATATCACAGGCTGAGGCTGGAACAGAGAAGTTGTGGAATCCATTTTTCCTCTGAATGAGAGTGCTGAAATTTTGAAGATAAAAGGGCTTTATCCTCATGCTGATGATAATCTTATCTGAGATGATGGAGGTGATGGGAAGATGTTTGTGGCAGCAACCTACTAAAAGCTGGTGGGAGAAAAATGGAACTTGTTGGACATTGCAGAAGGTAGTCAAGACCAATCAACAATTAAGAAAATGAGAGTCAGGAGCTGGAAACTCATAATTAAAGGAAAAATTAAGCATTTTCGTTGGAAATGTGCTGAGAATTTACTCCCTGTCAATTGCAATTTGTGCAAGAAAGGATTGGTCATTGACTCCATTTGTAAAGCTTGTGGGGATGCAGTTAAAACCCAAGAACTCATGTTCTTTCATTGCCCTAGATCAGGACTCATTTAGAAGCTCTCACATGTTTGCTGGGATTTTTTTAATTCAAAGAATGATTCATTCAGAAACTGGTGGACTAGTTTATGCTCTTTCAATCACTCATCTTCTTCTGAAGCAAGACTTCAAGTCACAACCTACGTTCTCTAGTGGATCTGGAAGGAAAGAAATAATGGATTTTTAACAATTTGGAGGCCGAAAACTTCCATTATACATAATGCGCTTTCGGATTGGGCTGAATTCTCTAATCTTGCTAGTTAGCTAGGTTGTTCTTGTTTTTTTTTTTCCTCGATTCTTTTGGTTTGGTATCTATCTTTTGTTCTGATTAGTTTTTAAGCTTGTGACTAGGTCCTCTAGGTTCAGTGGTCACTCGCTTTTTGCAGCTGTGTATAGTTCAGCGAGGATTTTAATTTAGTTAGAGCTATCGTGTTCAGTTTGTTGTGACTGCCGATAGCAAGAATGTCATTCTTTTTTTGGTTTTGGTTTAGAACACCTTGTTGGTTGTAGTCTTTGTTTGAAGTTATAGTATATATCGTTTCGAAAAAAAAAAAAAAGTTTCTACAATCTAATTCCAAAGAGCTCATATCCTTGCACGTATGTTCACACGTGCATTGATTCATGCATTTGCATTTTCTCAATAACAATTTCAAAATATTTTTAAGTTAAAATTCAACGCATTTGAAATATCATATGTAAATATTTTAAATATATATATATATATATATATATATAGG